GAGATAATGTCAAACATACAAACATACCGGGATAGGGGTTAAGGAATTGGCGTCAGTGGCGTCGTTTCGACTGTAGAGTGTAGGCACACATACACAAACACATACAAATACATTAATTCATTTTGTTAGGGCTACACTATACATGCCAGAGTTGCCTGTAACGAATGTTGCCTTGAAGCTCCCTCACGGCTCAAGCGATCCCCACTACGAACTCGACTACGTGGCCGAGTAGATGGGAGGACATCCGTTACATGATTTCGTTACATAGCAACTCGCATGAAATGAATTTACCCTACCGTGCGTAGAGAAGTTTCACTTCAAAAATAAAATACTACCTTATGATTGTTTAATGAACATTTAGTAATTTTAATAAATAATTTACATCTTAATTTTTAATTGTGTATTTACTATATCTTTGGGCTGAAGACCTTACAATAATGATGTCTTATAACGTGTTTGTAGTGGTTACCTCAAGGCAATGAATACTTTAACCACAAACCGAAGAAGGGCTTACAATTTTTTCAAGAGCATGGTGTTTTAAGTGCTAAGTTTGATTCGCAAGAAATTGTAACCTTTTTACGAGAAAACCCGGCTCTCGATAAGGTTAAAATTGGAGAGTACATAAGTAACAGAAATAATCTACAAATACTTGAAGCTTATGTAAAGATGTTCGATTTTACCAGTATTAGAATAGACGACGCATTGCGGATGTATTTAGAAACGTTTCGATTACCTGGAGAAGCGCCTCTTATTTCCCTCGTTCTTGAACATTTTGCTGATCATTGGCATGTATGTCAATTTCTTTCCTAAATCGATTAATTCATTAATAAGGACTATATTTTTTGTAGAAATGTAATGGAGAACCATTTGTAAATGCAGACGCTGCATTTACATTGGCTTATGCAGTTATAATGTTAAATGTGGATCAACACAATAATAATGTTAAAAGGCAAAATAATCCAATGACTTGTGAGGAATTTAAGAAGAATCTAAAAGGCGTCAATGGTGGTTTAGATTTTGATCAGAACATGCTTGACGAAATTTACAATGCTATCAAGTACGTATCTATTAAAAGAGTAATTTGATTTTCAGGTTGTTGCAAAAAAATATGTCTTGAGAAAAGTATTTTTTTCATTTTTTCAAAAAAATTAACTTTTTTTTCAAAAACATTGGCGTTATTGTATTATTATTATTATTATTCATCGTATCGAAAACGTTTAGATAAGTAAATGTGTTTTAGTATTTCCCAAAAAAAGAAAAATAATTGAATAATATTGGGAAATAAAAAATTTGAGACGACACCTATCGTTAGTGAACGTTAAACAATTTAGTGTAAACATGTTAACTGGACCGTACATTTGTTATTGTGAAAAGTTTAATAATTGTAATGTTACTATTAAAATTAGACTTTTCATTAATATTCGCGTACTGTTATATTAAAGAAAATGGAATGTTTTTCATGAAGTAGATACTGAATTACGAAATTTTATAATCTACATAGTAAATGCACTTTCTACTAACCTAAGTAGATAGTCAAAATTAAACCATGCTCTTTTGATGTTTCTCTATGGCACAAGTTCCCTATTCTCTACAGTTTTTTTCAATTACTAATAATAAAAAAGTAAAAAACAAAAGTTTATTGAAGTGCAACAATATTCCTTATACAATAAAGGACTCGTTAAACGATGATGCGCGAGTTCCACTACCTTACATGAATGATGGACGCGATGTAAGGGGAGTTTTATCTGCCGTTGAAGTAGAAAATTGGCATTTTCAAGTATAGGTATATCTTCTGACAATATTGTTGCTTCAGTTTTCTTACTTTAAAATAGGATTGCTTTTTCGCTTTCTACTGCGTGCTACTTTTTTTTTTTTTTTTTAATTAATATTCGAAAACGATAAATTTTAGAAGTAGAAAAACATTATGAAGGTTTTAGATAGACCTTCGTAACTAGAATTGAAAACCGTTATAATATACGGGGCGTTCCACTTAAAATAACGAAATTGATTACAAGAACCGGTATAACCGGAAGTACATAGATCTCGTTATTTCAGTTGAGGGGAGCATATTCAATAATGCTTTTGTACACATTTTCAAAATTTAAATCGAAGTAGTTTCCAAAATATTCTAATGGGTAGTCACCATGAGACACCCCGTATATAGATTCTGTTTAATTTTATTAATCAATTTTCGTAGGAACGATGAGATTGTAATGCCAGCGGAACATACAGGTTTAGTAAAAGAAAATTACTTGTGGAAGGTATTACTCCGACGAGGATCCACGAAAGAAGGTGTCTATTATCATACAGCCAGTGACGATTTTGATGAAAATCTTTTTTCTTTAATTTGGGGGCCCGTGGTTTCTGCTTTATCGTTTGTGTTTAGCAAATCTGAAGATGTGAATGTTTACAAACGTGCTCTGAATGGTTTCGAAAGTTGTGCTTCAATTTCTGCTCATTTTACCAACACTAAAAACTTGGATATGCTCGTGTTAACTTTATGTAAATTCACAATGCTTCACAATACACAGCAAAAAGTTAATCCGGTAGCTTTTGGTGCGAGTCCGAAAGCTCAAGCTGCTTTTAAGGCAGTTTTTGCCATGGTACACCAGCACGGAGATAATGTCCGTGAAGGTTGGAAGCATGTATTGCTTCTGATTCTTTCGTTATATAATGCAAACCTTGTACCAAAGACATTTCTCGAAGTTGAAGATTTTACCGAGCCAGATGGCAAAATTTTGCTCATTTGCGAACCGGTTCAAATGCAGAAGCAAGATTCGAACATTTTCAGTTCACTCTACTCGTATATGGTATCTTCGTCCTCCTCTGAAAATCTAAACAATAAGATGCGAACGATAGAAGAGCAACAGGCTGAAAAATGTATTGAACAGTGTAATTTAGATCAACTAATTACTGATTCGAAATTCTTACACGAAGAAGCGCTTCAAGAACTAGTTAAAGCACTTATAGATCTTTCATGGGGACCAGATGTCGAAAAGTCCCTTGGCTGCACGTATAACGAAAACGTGACCGTGTTTTTCCTGGAACTGTTACTAAAAGTAGTAATTCAGAATAGGTATGTATACTGCATTCGAATTTTATATATTGGTGGGAATATATTTAACCGGCCATGTAAAAAATTAAGAATTATCCCTTCTACAAGGCACTAGCAACTTATTGCATACCACAATCTGTAATCCCGCTGGAACGTACTCCCCTACTTTTCCGGACTAAGCTAGTAGATTGTGACACCCATTTGCCATTTTTTATTTAGCTTCAGATGTCTAAAAATATTATTGTTGAAATTTTGGAAAACACCCGTCTACAGCTTTACAGCAGACCGGGATATTGTTTGGCATAGTGTGGTGGGTTTTTTGAACCCCTTATAAGTAGGAGTGCTATTATTATTTTTGTTGCCGTTATTATTTAGTTTGTTTATTAGAGATTAGCAGTAATTAAATCATTGGACTGAAAGGACGTTGTAATTGTGTCGGTTCGAGTAATGGCACATGAAACGGACGATTTTATAGGTAATACTGAAATCTCGTTCTGAGATAACATTACTTCAACAATTGTAGGGGAGTACAAGTTTCGCCTGTTGTTCGTCATAACCGCTATTAAACCTATCAAAATTCAATTTATTTAAAATGTATGTAAGAGGGTTCTTTTCATATCGTCGGTTAAACTCATTCCTATAGTTTACCATTGCATGATATCATCATGTTACATGTTAGTGCTGTTACATTTTATTTTGTAGCATATTGATAAGTGTTTACATTGTCGATTATACATATTTATCATTATTTTTTCTATTTAACGATGTTTTTACAAAGGGATCGTGTGATGTCGATTTGGCAAGTGGTTCATAATCATCTGTATACTTTGATAGTGAATGCTTCACATCTCGACTACCAGTTTCTTCTTGAGAGATCGGTAGTAGGACTTTTGCGACTTGCTATTCGGCTGATGCGTAATGAAGAGATGAGTCCTGCAGTGGTGCAATCATTGCGAATGCTACTCTTACTTAAAACTACGACCTTATTCAAGATATCTATACAGATCTCGTGTGGTCTTTATGAGTTGTTGAAAACATCTGCACAGAATATACACACGAACACAGACTGGAGTATCATATTCACGCTGCTAGAATGTGTTGGAGCTGGTGCACTACCTCCCAAACCTCTTTCCGACGAAATACTTGCCGAACAAGGTAATGTAAAATAAAAATAAACAATGCATTCGTGAATTAATTTTTTGAATTAACTTTACCCACTACAGATAATCTCACATTAATGAGAAAAAATTGCTGGGAATAGAATCGGGGCCCTAGTTTTTACGCACCAGTGCTGTACCACTACACTACAACGTAGTGGGTAAAGTTAATTGAATTTAACACTATAGAAAATGAAAGTGTCTCAAAAATAAATAAAACTGCAATTGTTACAGCATAACTAATGAGTAGATTATTTTGTATTAATATAAATTTCCGGAAAGTTTATAAATTCGATCTGTCATCTTTTAGAGTTAAAATTAGAAGGAAATGGGACAGGTGAAGAAGAAGTAACTGTTTCTGAAAAGGGTTACCAATCGGACTCAGAAGTCATTACGCCAGTTTCAAAAGACAGCTCTAGATCGCAAAGTCCCGTTGCTGCTGTGACCTGTACAAACCCTTCAACCCCAGTTAACACTCCTACGAATCATGGTGGATGGATTTTGGTAAAATATCGGTGTTTCATAAGTCTTCTGAAGTATTTAATGAACAATTATGTAAATAGTTAGGTGCAGAAGGTGAAATTCAACCCGTCATTGGCAGAACTCTTTCGGCAGATCAGTATGGTTTAGCACTGGACTGTAATTTGGGTCTCCATAAACCGAAATCACTTCTTAAATGCTGCGAAAGCCTAGCATTTCTAGTCCGAGACGTGGCCCATATAACACCCTATAATTTCGATAACTGTGTCCACTGTGTTCGCACATTCGTTGAGGCCAGTTTAAATGGTGGTATGCTTAAAAATTTTCTTAAATAATTTGCTAACTGAGCCTATGCAGTTGAAATTGCGTATGTATATTATTTCGGACAATAGAGAAAAATATTTTTTGTTATCAGTAATGATTTATAAAAATATTATTTGATACCTAAAATAGATACCAATTTCAAATTTAAATATCCGTTAGTTTTTTTGAATTTGCCTTTTCTTTTTTAATTGTCAGGTAAAATAAAAGATTCAACTTCAACTAGAGAATCGAGATCAAGGAAGATGTCAAGAACAAGAAGCAGTCATGGAAGAAGCCCCGCCACTAGCAGTCCAGATGAAGACGATAGTGAAGATGAATATGTTCCTAGTGGTTATTATCAAACTTCAATACAGGTAAAAGTTCATAACTTATTAGTTCATTATTTAAATAAGGAATTAATCCCTAAAATACAAATATTAATAAGTAGGTAATTTTCGGTAACATTTTTTTGATGTGGTATTTTTTTAAGTTACTAGATTTGATGCACACGCTGCATACCAGGACAGCTCAAATATTTAGATGGTGGGCGGAAGAAGGAGGTGAAATAGCCAAAGAAACATCGTTATGGGGTCAAGGCTGGTGCCCTCTCCTGCAAGGTATCGCCAGATTATGCTGTGATAATAGACGTCAGGTATATTAAAAATGAGTATTTTTTAATTATTAAGATTCCATAATAGTAATTTTTAATTATTTTTTTAGGTTCGAATGNTTAATTTTATTTATAATGTTTTAATTCATCGCTCACATTTCAAATAGTGTCAAAAATCTATAATGTCAAAAAATGTCCAGGAATGTCCATACTCTATAACGGTCATATACCATATAGCCATAAACAGATAACGTTATTTCTATTTCTATGGATCAGAAACATCAACTAATAGATCACAAAAAACATTTGATAAACATTTGCATTTGGCATAAGCATACCATAGATCAGCATTTGACAATGCAATAAAGAGAAAACAAAGAAAAATGTTGACGATGTTGACCAATAATGTTGACATACATGTTTGACATTTAGTGTGACACGAGTATTGGAAATACGTTTCTGTGCTATCATATTTTTCAATGGAATAAAAAACTAATATTTTTTAAAAATTAAACAAAAAAAATGGTTTTGCCAGGCAATGGAATTTTTATTGTAAGGGGCGAATTGTCTGTTCTCATGACAGCAATGAAAAGGGGTGTAAGATGGTCATCACACTCGTATCAAGAGGGTGAAATGGACAACCTCGTTAAATCCCTTCAGGACCTTAAAGTATTATTGAATAAATTGGAAGATTTAAAAACCGTAGACCCTGTAGTTTTTGTCAATCCTTTTTTGGATGTTATTCGATCTGAAGACACATCAGGACCTGTTACCAGTTTAGCTTTGATGGCTATTAATAAAATTATATCATATGGAATTCTTGGTATGTACTTAGGTATTTTATTATATCTAGTAATAAAATCAGTCTAATATTTACTTATTTATTTCAATAACCGGAGGAGGGAGTTTAATCCCTTTACATAGTCTGATGTTAGAAAGCTTAAAAATTAAATAAAAAAAAAAGTTTCACATAAAATTAAATAAATGCAAGATATTATAAATAAGTACATATAGAAAATTGAAATAAAGAAATATTTTACAGATTCAACCCATCACAACATAGCACTTGTGGTAGACAATATTGCAGATGCTGTTACACATGCCAAATTTGTGGGAACTGATCAATCTTCTGATGGTGTAGTTTTAATGAAAATTATTCAAGTTCTCAGAACATTAACCCTTTCAACTGAAGGCGTATCACTTACAAATGATAGTTTGTGTGAAATAATGTTGGCATGTTTTAGGATTTGTTTTGAAACAAGATTAAGTGGTACACAAACTAAACTGTACCTTTTCTATTTACAGATTATAGATATATGTTTTTATAGAGTTATTAAGAAGAACTGCAGAATTATATTTAAAAGACATGGTCCAATTAGTTTTTATGAGACTTCCTGAATTTCCTGAAGATTTGAAACCTAGTAATATAAAACATTTAAAAATGAAAGCAGGTGTTATGGAGTCAAGTCGTACTAAAAGGAAAAACAAAACTAAAAAAATATCAAATACAAGTGCTCCAACAGTCGACAAAAACAGTGACGGTATTGTTTCAGTAATGATTGTATATATACTTCAATAGTTTTCCTTTTTAGATTTGGTTAATTTTACATACACTACAAAGGTGGACGATAACACCAATAAAAACAATATTGTTGATATGCAAGGATCAATATCTCAGGATGATAAAATTAAAGAAATTGAAAAAGAAACTAAGGGGTGTGAAGAGATGCCCAATAAAGAAGAAGTATGAATTTGAAATGTTTTTAGAATGAGAGTGATTTTTATATACCTGATTTTTATGTGTTTGTTGTTGCACTATATTGTCCTGCTCTTTACATATATGCAAAAATGCTTGTTCTTCATTCCTTCTGCTTCATGACAAATACTACTCATTTTGATTTAGTAATTGCTCTTTCAAATTTTTACTTTTTTACTATTTATTTACATTCATTACTTCTATATTATTTTAATTTTTAAAGTTCTCAAGAGTATCTAACTCTTGAGAAAGAGCATCTAGATACTAGTATTTAGATGCTGTTGAGAAAGGCTTGATAGGCCAAAACAATTGTAGAGTAATTTTCTGTTAATTTGAACATTTAAAAGCAATTGTATTGCATTTAAAAATACTTCTCTAGCTGCTGTTCATGTGTTGCAGGAAAGAAGTGCATCTAATCTAGAGGTTGAAACTATAGGAGTAACTAATGAAGAAGTAGAAGTTAATTCAAGTAGTGTAACATTAGACACAAATTTAAATCAAGTAAATTCCATTGTTATTCCAACGGAACAAATTCAAGAAAAGCAAGATGAGGAATATGTGAATTATAGGGGCATTAGATTTACCCCTCAACAGGAAGAGAGTTTCGTTTTACTTCCTTATGGCCTTGCATGTATTAGGGAAATGTTTCGATTTCTTATTTCACTGTGCAACCCTTTGGATAAACAAAATACAGACACTATGATACATTTGGGGTTGTCGCTACTTACTGTAGCATTTGAAGTGGGCGCCGATAATATCGGAAAATACGAAAGTCTCTTAGTTTTAGTGAAAAACAATCTATGTCGAAATTTGATTTCGGTAAGTAACCTCTTTTTGGTAGGTACTTATTTAAAATGAAGTTCAATGGGAAAAAAGCATTGAACTAAAAGCTAAAAATGAATGAAATTAAAATTAACTAATGAAGTTAATTCGTTATATTCAATATGGTTACTTATTCCACGTTACGCATCATAATATATTATTTGGAAAGAATCATAAAACATTTTAAAAGTTATTTAACAAATTGAATGATTTTTTTTAGTACATTTTTGAATCGAAAAGTTGTGTTTAAATAATATCTAGTTTCTTATATTATTGTTTTCTTTTAGCTCTTGCATACAGAAAGAATATCAATATTTGCAGTTAATTTGCAAGTTTCATTTCTGATGTTTGAATCCTTGCGAATTCATCTCAAATTCCAACTAGAGCTATATCTCACAAAACTAATCGAAATGATTACTAGCGATGCCATTAAAGTTACCTATGAACATCGAGAATTGGCATTAGATTACATTGTTCAACTGTGGAGGATACCAGGTTTCGTCACGGAATTGTACGTGAATTACGATTGCAGTATGTACTGTTCAAACCTATTCGAGGACTTGACAAAATTATTGGCGAAAAACGCTTTTCCGACTGTATCCGGTGTTTATCACACCCACCTTTTATCTTTGGACACGCTTTTGACTGTTATAGAGAATATTGAAAATCATTGTATCGAAGCGACAAAACTAAAATTTGAACGGAACAATTGCTTAAATCATAATGAGGAAGTGGAAACGTTACCATCTGACATTTTAGAGATAACTACGTCTAGGCAAAAAATATCAAAAAATGTGCCTACAAAAGAGGAATTAATGGCAGTCAAGAATATAAAAAAGGTAAATTCTTTTGATTATCACATCCACTAATACTTGATTGATTTTAAAGAAACTTATTTAAGTAGCTTTAAATATTGCATTATAGATAAGAAAAGCTTTATTCTTACTAGTTAGTTAGCACGAAAAAAAGGTACCTGGTTTTTGTACCATTAAAAAAGAGTACGTATTTTTCTAATCTGGCTAGGCAATATTGAATGTAATTCAACAACTATCATAATTATTTGTATGAAATATCGCCACAGTATTTCAGTTATGCAAATTATTAACAATTTTTTATTTATTTATTTGTTTAGTTANACTGGAAAGAGTGCCGCAGGCCGTCCATTGAATGAAAATATTAGAATTGCCATGGACAATGTTTTTTATTGCATAGAAAATAATGGCGATTGTCAATTCACGTTGGGTGAGTTGAAAGATGTGATGAAATATTACATTCCAGACGATAAAACAATAATAAGAAAAATGATTGCTTAATATTGGAGTAATACTGTAATTACCACGAAAACTAATATTTGACCAATACGTCGTATGAAGAAAAAACAACAAAATCATTGTGATGAACGTCTTCGAATTGTAGAAGCTACTGCATCAATAAATAATTAAAGAAGATATTCGTTCCATTACAATTTTTCACGACTCTTATCCACCACCAAGTCGAATGTTTGATAATATTAATGACGAAATTAATAATACTTTAACACATTTCTTGCATAAATTAACTGTGAAAAATAAAAAAGGCCAAACAAAAAAATTGAAGCAAAATCTACAGCCATAGCCCATGCTACAATGTCCGCGATCGTACTCGTCACAGCTGCCGTATAACAGGGGTTTAGTGTAAGAGAAGTACACGGAGCGGCATAGCCTAGTGGTTAGACCACAGCTTAGCATTCGGGAGAAAGGTGGTTCAATTCCGGGTCCGTCTACCTTGATCCAAAGTTCCTTGAATCATATAGGCAAATGCTGAAGCAGTAATATTCCATAGATAATCATTCATTCTCTTCTGTCTACATTCCTTCCGTCTCACCTTTCTCACTAAATAGGATCTTCCGCCCTACCTTCTGGCATAGTCTGGAGGAATTGCCCGCACACCAGCATTAGTGGCTGGTGGGAATGAGACACATAAAAGTTTTATAGAGAAGTAAGGTTTGGTCAAAAACTGGAAGATACTAGACCAAAAGAACCAAATTAACATAGTCCAAATCACTACTTCACCTGATTATTGTGCAAATAGTGGTAATAATTTATTAAATCCTTTTTTGATACTGACTTTGTTAAAAGTACTTCCGTTCGAAATAGGGATTCACGTGAGATGACGTCATCAGCTGTAGCAGCTCGCTGTTTAGTCTCGGACTGCTTCAAAATCGCAACGACCGAAAAACAAAATGCATTATCTCGGAAACTACTACTCGCAGAACGATATTTTTTAATTTGGGGTAGGTCGCGAAAATAATAAGTTTGGAAATATTTTCAACTCTCCATAGATTAGTCCAAGCAACTTATTTAACAATAAATAATTGTGATTACATACGATCGTCGATTTTTCCTATCTATATTCAACCCGCGTTAATAATTGTGACTAATCGTGCAAGGCATAGGTATACCTAATTACTTCTCTCTGGGGGTAGACCCATCAGTCTAGTCCCGAACTGAACGAACAAGCCCATATCTGCCCATGCATTGCTTATAACATAAAAATAAAAACATTTCTTAATGCCATCTTATTGGGCTAAATGAGTAGAGCATTTGAGCAAAATATAAACTTTGGAAATTGTTTAAACTATGTTAAATAAATTATTAAGATGGCTGAGATTGCGTTTCTCGAGGCGCTAAATTGCCAATCATGACGTTTTTCAAATATTTTAATTACATTACGTTTCCCTTCATTAAATAAAGGAGAAGTGGTATCGCATCCGGCTACGGCATTTAAAAATAAAATAGGCATGCTTTTTCGCTACCTACTGATCTATGCCTTTTTTTTAATATCTCGAAAACGATAAATTTTAGAAGTAGAAAAACATTATGAAGGTTTTAGATAGACCTTCGTAACTAGAATTGAAAACCGTTATAATATACGGGGCGTTCCACTTAAAATAACGAAATTGATTACAAGAACCGGTATAACCGGAAGTACATAGATCTCGTTATTTCAGTTGAGGGGAGCATATTCAATAATGCTTTTGTACACATTTTCAAAATTTAAATCGAAGTAGTTTCCAAAATATTCTAATGGGTAGTCACCATGAGACACCCCGTATATAGATTCTGTTTAATTTTATTAATCAATTTTCGTAGGAACGATGAGATTGTAATGCCAGCGGAACATACAGGTTTAGTAAAAGAAAATTACTTGTGGAAGGTATTACTCCGACGAGGATCCACGAAAGAAGGTGTCTATTATCATACAGCCAGTGACGATTTTGATGAAAATCTTTTTTCTTTAATTTGGGGGCCCGTGGTTTCTGCTTTATCGTTTGTGTTTAGCAAATCTGAAGATGTGAATGTTTACAAACGTGCTCTGAATGGTTTCGAAAGTTGTGCTTCAATTTCTGCTCATTTTACCAACACTAAAAACTTGGATATGCTCGTGTTAACTTTATGTAAATTCACAATGCTTCACAATACACAGCAAAAAGTTAATCCGGTAGCTTTTGGTGCGAGTCCGAAAGCTCAAGCTGCTTTTAAGGCAGTTTTTGCCATGGTACACCAGCACGGAGATAATGTCCGTGAAGGTTGGAAGCATGTATTGCTTCTGATTCTTTCGTTATATAATGCAAACCTTGTACCAAAGACATTTCTCGAAGTTGAAGATTTTACCGAGCCAGATGGCAAAATTTTGCTCATTTGCGAACCGGTTCAAATGCAGAAGCAAGATTCGAACATTTTCAGTTCACTCTACTCGTATATGGTATCTTCGTCCTCCTCTGAAAATCTAAACAATAAGATGCGAACGATAGAAGAGCAACAGGCTGAAAAATGTATTGAACAGTGTAATTTAGATCAACTAATTACTGATTCGAAATTCTTACACGAAGAAGCGCTTCAAGAACTAGTTAAAGCACTTATAGATCTTTCATGGGGACCAGATGTCGAAAAGTCCCTTGGCTGCACGTATAACGAAAACGTGACCGTGTTTTTCCTGGAACTGTTACTAAAAGTAGTAATTCAGAATAGGTATGTATACTGCATTCGAATTTTATATATTGGTGGGAATATATTTAACCGGCCATGTAAAAAATTAAGAATTATCCCTTCTACAAGGCACTAGCAACTTATTGCATACCACAATCTGTAATCCCGCTGGAACGTACTCCCCTACTTTTCCGGACTAAGCTAGTAGATTGTGACACCCATTTGCCATTTTTTATTTAGCTTCAGATGTCTAAAAATATTATTGTTGAAATTTTGGAAAACACCCGTCTACAGCTTTACAGCAGACCGGGATATTGTTTGGCATAGTGTGGTGGGTTTTTTGAACCCCTTATAAGTAGGAGTGCTATTATTATTTTTGTTGCCGTTATTATTTAGTTTGTTTATTAGAGATTAGCAGTAATTAAATCATTGGACTGAAAGGACGTTGTAATTGTGTCGGTTCGAGTAATGGCACATGAAACGGACGATTTTATAGGTAATACTGAAATCTCGTTCTGAGATAACATTACTTCAACAATTGTAGGGGAGTACAAGTTTCGCCTGTTGTTCGTCATAACCGCTATTAAACCTATCAAAATTCAATTTATTTAAAATGTATGTAAGAGGGTTCTTTTCATATCGTCGGTTAAACTCATTCCTATAGTTTACCATTGCATGATATCATCATGTTACATGTTAGTGCTGTTACATTTTATTTTGTAGCATATTGATAAGTGTTTACATTGTCGATTATACATATTTATCATTATTTTTTCTATTTAACGATGTTTTTACAAAGGGATCGTGTGATGTCGATTTGGCAAGTGGTTCATAATCATCTGTATACTTTGATAGTGAATGCTTCACATCTCGACTACCAGTTTCTTCTTGAGAGATCGGTAGTAGGACTTTTGCGACTTGCTATTCGGCTGATGCGTAATGAAGAGATGAGTCCTGCAGTGGTGCAATCATTGCGAATGCTACTCTTACTTAAAACTACGACCTTATTCAAGATATCTATACAGATCTCGTGTGGTCTTTATGAGTTGTTGAAAACATCTGCACAGAATATACACACGAACACAGACTGGAGTATCATATTCACGCTGCTAGAATGTGTTGGAGCTGGTGCACTACCTCCCAAACCTCTTTCCGACGAAATACTTGCCGAACAAGGTAATGTAAAATAAAAATAAACAATGCATTCGTGAATTAATTTTTTGAATTAACTTTACCCACTACAGATAATCTCACATTAATGAGAAAAAATTGCTGGGAATAGAATCGGGGCCCTAGTTTTTACGCACCAGTGCTGTACCACTACACTACAACGTAGTGGGTAAAGTTAATTGAATTTAACACTATAGAAAATGAAAGTGTCTCAAAAATAAATAAAACTGCAATTGTTACAGCATAACTAATGAGTAGATTATTTTGTATTAATATAAATTTCCGGAAAGTTTATAAATTCGATCTGTCATCTTTTAGAGTTAAAATTAGAAGGAAATGGGACAGGTGAAGAAGAAGTAACTGTTTCTGAAAAGGGTTACCAATCGGACTCAGAAGTCATTACGCCAGTTTCAAAAGACAGCTCTAGATCGCAAAGTCCCGTTGCTGCTGTGACCTGTACAAACCCTTCAACCCCAGTTAACACTCCTACGAATCATGGTGGATGGATTTTGGTAAAATATCGGTGTTTCATAAGTCTTCTGAAGTATTTAATGAACAATTATGTAAATAGTTAGGTGCAGAAGGTGAAATTCAACCCGTCATTGGCAGAACTCTTTCGGCAGATCAGTATGGTTTAGCACTGGACTGTAATTTGGGTCTCCATAAACCGAAATCACTTCTTAAATGCTGCGAAAGCCTAGCATTTCTAGTCCGAGACGTGGCCCATATAACACCCTATAATTTCGATAACTGTGTCCACTGTGTTCGCACATTCGTTGAGGCCAGTTTAAATGGTGGTATGCTTAAAAATTTTCTTAAATAATTTGCTAACTGAGCCTATGCAGTTGAAATTGCGTATGTATATTATTTCGGACAATAGAGAAAAATATTTTTTGTTATCAGTAATGATTTATAAAAATATTATTTGATACCTAAAATAGATACCAATTTCAAATTTAAATATCCGTTAGTTTTTTTGAATTTGCCTTTTCTTTTTTAATTGTCAGGTAAAATAAAAGATTCAACTTCAACTAGAGAATCGAGATCAAGGAAGATGTCAAGAACAAGAAGCAGTCATGGAAGAAGCCCCGCCACTAGCAGTCCAGATGAAGACGATAGTGAAGATGAATATGTTCCTAGTGGTTATTATCAAACTTCAATACAGGTAAAAGTTCATAACTTATTAGTTCATTATTTAAATAAGGAATTAATCCCTAAAATACAAATATTAATAAGTAGGTAATTTTCGGTAACATTTTTTTGATGTGGTATTTTTTTAAGTTACTAGATTTGATGCACACGCTGCATACCAGGACAGCTCAAATATTTAGATGGTGGGCGGAAGAAGGAGGTGAAATAGCCAAAGAAACATCGTTATGGGGTCAAGGCTGGTGCCCTCTCCTGCAAGGTATCGCCAGATTATGCTGTGATAATAGACGTCAGGTATATTAAAAATGAGTATTTTTTAATTATTAAGATTCCATAATAGTAATTTTTAATTATTTTTTTAGGTTCGAATGAGTGCGATAACATATTTACAACGAGCTTTATTGGTTCACGATTTACAAACATTGAATGGTCCTGAATGGGAAGCTTGTTTTCACCGGGTTTTGTTTCCACTTCTTTCTATACTTTTAGAACCTATTGGTCCTAAGGATCCACAATTTTTAGAAGAAACAAGAATACGAGCTGCAACTCTTCTTTCAAAGGTAGAAAAAAAAATTAAAAATGTTTATTTGCATTCGACTTTAGAATATTAACTTTTTAATTATATTATAACTCGACATACGTCCGTGCGAATAAATAGTACAGTGATGTTTTAACGACTTGTTATATTGTTTCACAGTTGTACGACTTTTAAAACGTTTTTGTTATTTACGATGAAATTTCGTTAACCCATTAAACGAGCAGTCGAGTAGTTATTGACCCTGCCGCGTTAGCAGAGAGCAGTAGATAAAGAGAGTAGCGCTATCACCCAACCGGCGCCATATTTACTCCACTTGGTCATATACGGTATAGGTATATATATGAGTTGTACGATGGCTCTGTAAAATGAATCGTCGCCCTGAGCTTATTTTTCAATGTTTTTCGAATTTTCTTTAACTAATCGAATGTCCATCTTCTGTTAGTTTGACAATCGGAGTATACTTGACCGCCAAGTCGGCATTTGTCAATTTAATAAAAAATAATAAACTTTTTCAATTTAAACTACTTACAGCGTAATAAGAGAAAAATTATCTAAAAATTCACCAAATTAATATAAATTAACTACATGGATTTTGCTAAAATGAGATGATATATCTTAATGAGTATTAGTGTGGTTCTTATTTTGGATATTTTTAATATATAATGTTCATTAAAGTGAAAAGAAAACCAGAAATATTTACGTTCGAGAGTAAGCAGCATTTTGTGAAATAGTATACTATGCTACAAGTGCAGTAAGTTGTCGATTTCCCACGAGTGCGCTCATTTGCTCGAGTGGGCGATTGACAACATCGCTCGTGTCGCTTTTATTTTGTGGATCTAAACATAATCCTTAATGTTTTTAATGATACATGTCAAAGGTCACGAACATAATGAATCGTTTTTGAAATGAAAATAAACATAATTCATTGTAATTTTTTACAAAAAAAATAATTTTTAAATAATAATTGATAATTTGTTTATTTTCTTTAATAAACTAACTTTCTTAATCGAAAATAGTAGTGGAATATTCTTACTGTAGCCGCTATGCATTTTGTGCTGTGAGTCAAAAATAGTGTGGAAAAGAGTGAACATAAGAAGTGTACTCTTTTACAACTATTTAAATCGAATCTTCTTGTAGACAACTTCCTAAGCTGCAAATTTAATAACCAGTTTTTCGTTGAAAGTGGCCGTTAACGAGTTGTTTTGTTATCTTGACCTCACGTAATATTTAATGCGACACATGTATCGGTAAGGATTTTTGGGATTTTATTTAGAATTACAAAGGGAAGGTTAATATGGAAAGCTAACTTTCTTGTAATGTTTCCAAAGTTTGGTCTTTTTTTCATTTTTATTCCCTGAAAGTAATATTTATTATTTGCAAGTACCACTACATTACATTATATTTCATTTTTATAAACAGAATTCTAAACAAGTAGTTATTTTTGTTCGTAGGTATTCCTTCATCATTTAACTCCTTTATTGTCGTTGCCAACATTTTCGAATTTGTGGTTAAATATTCTGGATTTTATGGATAAATATATGCATGCAGATAAGAGCGATTTATTATATGAAGCAATTCCAGAATCACTAAAAAATATGCTTTTGGTTATGGAGTCGGCAAATGTGTTTAAAGGAAGAAATGACTCTAGAAATCAGCTTTGGTTCCTTACGTGGGAGAGGATATCAATATTTTTGCCAAATTTAAAACAAGAATTATTCAACGAAAGAGAACAGACTTGGAACATCGAACAGAAGGTACGGCATTAAAGTCGAACGAACACGCTATTTATTTCTTACAATGACAATAAAATCTAAAAGTCTACTTCAGTTTTGATTACTTTACAATACTGAATCCTGAAATTGGTGGGACATTTTGCACTTAACATAAGCATAGTGTTTTATGAAAAACATTGTTCTACGCATGTGCGAGTTTTCAATTGTCAGAATCTATCTTTACTATTTTAAAATTATTATTTAAAGAGAGTGTGTGTGGGGGGGGGGTTGATTGGATGGGTGGGTGGATAAGTTAGTGCCTGTGTGCTTATGTGTGTGTTTACTGGTGTTGTAAATAATTTTTCTAATGGGAGAATAGGGCCATAGGGGAATCATCCTTAAAAAAAGTAACGCACCTTGGCAATATGTGAACGGTAGTTTTGAAATTTAATAAAATTACAATTACCTATCCAGAGGATATTAATTTACCTATTAAAGTTTACATATTTATATAACGTTAATTTTTTATTACTTTTGTGTTCTTAATACCATGTTGAGGTGTACTTTACATAGTTCTGCATACTTCAGTGGGTGTAGTGGCATTGTTCTACAATCGTCATTGTATACATTTTTCATCTATGTAGTTGTTTAGCTGTTATCGCAATAATTTTTCTATACCAATTGCCAATTCACGTCCAGAGCCGGGCTTCGGATTACAACTTCGTCTGACTTTCTTACAATTTTTTTTGTCCTTGAACCACGTTGTTTTACTCACCATGTGATTTTCTATTCCATCTAGTTAACACCCTCTAAATCTTGCTACTTATACGCTACTATACCCTGTATTTGTAGAACCAGGCCTACTCGGGCATACCATCCTATCCCTGTAGTAGGCAACTATTAAACAATATGTACACTCAACTTCCTCTGAATAATAAAAAATAACTAACTCTGCTTTGACAACTGCAACTCACGCATGCATTGAGTAAGATGCTTAGCCGGTAGTTTCATGTTTATCGAAGTTGCAATCCACATCACAATGGAATTTAATTTGTAAATAAGTTTATTTTTTAACAGAACATGATTGAAAACAATTCAATGAATATGCATCCCCAATCGACCACAATTGTGACTCAACATAACGTGGAAAATGCTACCCGTTCGAGTATAATTCTCCAACCACCTTCTTTGGGAAAGAACGTGGCTTCGAGTTTGTTCTCACATTTAGGACAGGTATGAAATTGTTAATATCAGGGCCCCTTTGAATCTTATTTGTTTATAAACACCTTTTAGAATATCGTTTTTCTAGAATAGTATATAATGTATTCATATGAGACAGAAAACTGAACGAATCGTAAATGTCAATGCACGGCAGGGACATCATCACACATGAAATTGAACTTATTTATTGTTAATATCAAGAGTAATTTTTTATGAGATTTCAGGTATGCACATGAAGAGTAAGCAAACGCATGCATACTCTTAGTAAGAAGAAGAAATAGTAAATAATAAATAATTCCTCTTAAAAATAAAAGTTCCACTTTTGGCGCACGTACTTTTTCCATGTTCCCTTCTTTTGTTATGCAAAAATTTATGTATAAGCCAAGGTTCAATATTAAATTTAATTAAAATTAAATAAAATAGTTAATAGTTTATAGTTTCACCAATTTAAAGTTAAAATTAGTGTAATCGTCCACTCGCGTTTTTTTTTTCTAAATTTATTTTATACGTTTATCAAAAAAGGTGCCACAGAAAATTTGAATTTAAGTTTAGGCTGCTAAAGTAACCGCAATATTTTATTATATGTAATTTAAAAAAATGTTTTCGTATGAAATACTAAGCGATTAATCACTATATATATTTTGCCATTTCTGACCTTTTATCGTAATTTTTTTACACAGATGGTTTCGACACCTATTGTGCCACCAGAAAAGGCAGTTAGTGAAACGTCTCTTTCATCAAATCCTCTCAAAAGCCCAGAACATTCTTCAAATTTATTGGTTTACACATCAGCAACCGAAGAAGCCCCTCATGTGTTTCCTGTTTTGTATAGTTCTCCAAAAGCAGATACTACATCATTATATGGAGAGTATATTAAGAACCCCTACCATTCAGTTGATGAAGAAAAGATGACGAAAGAGGTTGACACTGAAGAGAAAAGCCATAATTTTGAACCCGGTAGTGTCAGTTTATTATCAAGTTATTTCGGTACGATTGACTCTGGAACAGATTTTGCATTTCCAGAATCAAAAACATTTCTTGGTTCTAATGAGGTAACAGCTGAAAATATTAGTTTTAATTGTGAAAATAACATTCCAGAAGAAAATATCAAATTAGTAATTAACTAAAGCTTTTCAATTTATTGTGTAATGCCCATTAAAAGTATTTAATTTTTAAATTTATACATATAAGTACGCTATAAAAAGTGGTACATACTAATTGAAAATGTATAGTCTGTTATATATTTTTAGCAAACCATAAACATTTTATGCTTTTCTGTATATAGAGGAATGAATTAATGATGTATGTATTTTTAAATATATTATTTTAAATCTATAATTTAATTGTATATATTTAAGGCAGAGATGTTGTTATTGATGGTTGAGCTGTTAATAGGTAATATGAATGTATTGTTACTCAAACAAAAGTGTAAACTGATTGTTTTGTTATCTGTGCTCGTAAAAACAATAAAAAATACTAAAAGTTTCTTTTAATAACGAATGAATTTTAATTGACTAATTTGCTTAAACATCAAATATAATCAAAATCAATACATCTGCAGTAATGATAAACTTTTTGTGAACAAAGCCTTCAGCGACTGACTCTTAACGTTGGACCATTCTCAAAATTCATAAATAATAAAACCACTAAAAATACTAATGTTATAAATTATAACTATAAGAATTATATAAAATGGCGATTATTTATATAAAAACAAATACGTTGTTTGTTATCTGTGAATTATGACCCGTTTACGTTATTACTGGATAAATAAAATTATGTAAAATAATGTCAAAGCGAAAAGTGACATAAGTAATTCCCCCATAAAAATATTTGTAAAATAGAAAATATTCCTTCATGTTTCCATTTAACATTTGTGTGAAATCCTACAAATGGCGCGGTAAACGCCATCTATAGTACAATGCTACATTTTACGGATCACTATGTATGCAGGCGTACCTCACCACTACGTGAAAGGGTCAGATGCGGATCGCGATTTCGATCTTGTTGGATCCATCAGCGCGTCGCAGACAGCTTCGACAGAATACAGACCAACTTTTACTTGCTGTCTTAACATTTGTGTGCTTGTATTATTGTTGTGTTTGATCGATTTTGTATTTTTAATCTTTGAGCTTTTAATATTTAACTGCATCACCAATTTTAAGTCAAAAAAATGTTAATTTGAGAACAAATGCTGTACTAGAGTTAATTTTCAAAAAAAATGTCGAAGCAGTGAAATGATATTGTATTCATATTACCTATCTGCCCTCAGTCCAGTCATTATTGTACAAAAGTATTTATTCTTGTTCAAAATATTTAACAGCAAGCGGAGTATACCACCATGTAAATTGGGCTTCAGGGTGTAAAATATCAAAAATGTCTCCAACAAATGTCAGTTTTTGTCCCGTTTTTCAGATTTATCTCAAAGACTGTCAGAGTAATCGTTAATGCCCAATGAGATATGTTGAGAATTGCAAAACTTTTAAAATGACACGTTTTAGTTGGAACTATTTTTACATATTGGTAATTCTAGAAAACTTCATAACTATCCTAATTTATTATTTTCAGCATCGGCCTTCCCGAACAAAGTCGTGACTATTGTGCATAATAAGTAAGACAAAGAGGTATTCTGTCAGATTTATAGATTTCGCAATTTACAGTATTCTGACAAGTACTTTTGCATAGGCCATTCTATCTCGCCCAGTTAACATATGCCAAATTTTCGAACATATTTTATTAAAGTTCAAAAACACTGGACAACAAAATTTAAGTTATTTGTTGTATTTTGTATGAAAAGTCCATTTTTTTGTTAACTTTGGGGCGGTGAATACAAAAATGGTAATGATGCTATCCTTTTGTGAATTGTTTCTGAAGCATTTCTAACATGTGTCCAACAGTAGTGGGCAAACATGGAAGCATTCTAGTTTCCCTGGTATTTTTTTTCTATTGTTCATATATCTTGAGGGAAGCGTTCGCTTTACTACAGCTTTGCAGTTGTAAGGAAAAACGTGCAGGTGTGATTGTAGGAAATAGATTTCTAGAGACATATAGCAACTCATTTTTTGGTACGGTGACAGTATATTTTCCAAAAGAAATTAGTGACCACGAAACGAAAGTCATTCCAAGCATTTTTTCAATATCTGTCTTTCAGAATATTTCGAATCTCAGGCACAACAAAAATACCTTCCTTAATTATAGCTTCACTTAGCCTTGGGAATTTCTGAAGCAAGTACTGAAAATCTGACACTGAATAGAGATAATCTCTACTAAGTTTTTCTTCAGGCTCAACTTGATATGCAGTGGTGGCAAATTGTAATATATTAGGATTTCTTAATAGCGGGTTGTGAAATAAAATATTACTAACTAATTGATTAATAGTATATTGTCTATCTGCACAGGACATAACACGACTGAATTGCTAGGAGGGGTACAAGTACACACTCACTCATACAGCGTGCGCTCTAACCTTGATATACTACATATCCCCCTTTATTAAAATTAGAAACATGGTCGTTATGATATAAATACAAAAGGTACAAAAATGTGAATGTCTTATTATTAATACAATTATTTTTTCGCTTTGTTCATTAATCTAAGTGATCTTCTAGGACACACATAATTTTTATGCATATTTTTTACGTTGGAAAGTTTCGTACTTACTCTCTCCCCCTCTTACAGACTTTCATTTACCTTGGTTTTAATAATTTGATTCGTGTGTTTCTTTGAAGTTGAACCATCGCTAAATTTCACATTATAAGTAGAAAGTGATTTTTTTTAATGATAACGGCTTCTGATCTACCTTTCGAACCTGATCTAAGATTTTTATACATACACTTTTTCTCCTAAAGCTAAATCCCATCCTCGTCGCCAAATTGTAATATATTGGGATTTCTTAATATCGGGTTGTGAAATAAAATATTACTAACTAATTGATTAATAGTATATTGTCTATCTGTACAGGACATAACACGACTGAATTGTTAGGAGGGGTACAAGTACACACTCACTCATACAGCGTGCGTTCTAACCACGATATACTACAGCAACAAAATCCTTTTGAAGTCTACCAATGCCACATGTTTTACATTCTTTTGGTCCATTCACACAAAAAACAGCAAAACTTAATGGATTCACATGGGTTAAAATGGTTATTTCCATTATTTTAAGTTATAGGAGCTTGGTACTCCGTATATGGGGGGACTCCCATAGGGACCCCCCATGGGGTGTTGCCAAGTAGTGCAATATTGCTTTTACTTGGGAAAAACGTAATGTTAAAGAAAAAAACAAGCAATTCAAGGGTGAAGCTTTTTTTTAATTACAAGTATAATTCACAACCAACGTTTCGGCTTAAGGTAAAAAGAAGTAAAATGTAAGTTAGTTTAAGAATAACAATTAGAGTACTGTGAAACTAGTAAAACATACATAGTCGAAATTATACAAAGCTTTTAAAATAATTCTCTTCAAAAATCCGTTTGTGACCTATCCCAACACAATGTTTAACTAGAGCAGTTCCATAATGCTGTTGGAGTAGTATATATTCATAAATCATTTTTATGTTCAACGATTCTGACCCTAAAAAGTGTTTTTGTTTGTCAAGTGTAGCATTTGTTGCAATTGTAACATAAATTATATAAATCAAGTTGGTTTGTTTTCGTGTTTAGTAAGCCGATAGGATTAACGCTACTTTCACACATACGGTTTTCTAACGGCAACCGTGCCGTGCCGTGCCGTAATTTCGTTTGCTTTGCGATCACACTGCACACGGTTTTTCACTTCGGGTTTAGTTTTGTTTTGATACGTGACCAAAATGGACGAAAGAAAAAAACGCATGTTGTAATAAAAGCTATTGATAACGATAGAATTGAATACAAAAGAATTTGAATACACTGTTCCAAATATTTTCACAGAAAATAATAGAAAGACAGATACAAAAGAATTCGAATAGAAATATTTACAAAAGGGTGTAATATAATGTTTTGCCAAATATATGTTTTAAATTAAATATAGTGGTGTTATCCGCCACACTATATAATTTCTTCTGTTAACTGTACAATTCAGAGAGAAAAACGATCCTGAAAACAATTTTTGCCGTGTGAACACACGGCACGTGTGAATACTTCTATACACTTGCTTGTCTCACTGTTGTCGTGCACGGCTACGGCGCCGTGCCGTTGCAGTCCCCATGCCGTGCTGCGACGGCAGCAAACCGTGTTGTGTGAAAGCTTGCATATAAACCAATGTATTATTATTATACACGGCACCGTTGCCGTACACGGTCACTGCAAAAAACCGTATGTGTGAAAGCAGCGTAAGGGCGAAAATTATGTTATGCTGGTAATGTTCCGTAACACCTACAAAAAATTGATTTTTTTGACTTTATAATCTTTGTAAGTGCCATGTTCTTTGTTAATTCTTTGTTTCATATGTATTTACCTGAAGAAGCTGTTTCACTATAAGGCGAAATGTTGGTTGTGGATTACCTATATTTTTAATTAAAAAAAACTTCACCCTTGAATTGCTGAAAGATGTTTTAAATTTTATTTTAAAGGTTTTATAACTTTAGATGATGGTATATTCTAACTGCAGTTAATTGTTTTTAATTATGAAATAAATTTATACAAATCTTTTTTACCTCTACCATCTAGGAATTTAATTTCCATTACATTCGAACTTTTTGGTCATTTTGATTGATAAAGTTACGTAATGGATGACATTAACAGATTTTTTAACTGTCAGACATTGACAATATATTCTCAACCATGTCTACGCAATTTTCGCTTAAAAGCGATGGCGATGAGACTGTTAAATTAGAAGGTTCTAAAAACACAACAAGCGTAACTACTTCGAAATCGAAGAAACATTTAAAACCCATTTTAACGCGAAAGGTTGTCGATACCCAAAAGGTTTTTTTTAACGGAGAAGATGTGACTCCACTTCCTTTAAAACAAGCAGTTGCTAGTTTTCATAAAGCGTCTTTTCTAATGGATCGAAAGCATTCTCAGTTACGTCGAAGTAGAAATGAAAGCCAGTCTCATACTTTACTCGCACCAACTATTACACCTTCTTCTATGCGTCTTGCATCGGAATCGATTTCAAAGTTTCATTCGGAGCTAAGGAAACAGGACATAGAGGCAGGCAGTTTATTAATGCCTACAACAGTAACCTTTATGAGTTTAATCGAAGACGTCATGATGAAGCAAGTAGAACTGCCGACAATTGTAACAAGAGGGTCAATAAAAACCATTGAAGAGGAAGCTGATTACGAATTGCTATCTGCAATTGTTCATGGAACATATAAGTCCTCAGCTCCAATTACTATTACTTTGGTTGAGACTCCTACCGAGTATGTTTTCGAAATGCCTAGTAAAACGGTAGAAATCAATACTCCAGAAGGTATAATTCAATTTATAACTCATTATATGTATTTTATAATCTGTTTTAATCTAAAACCTTTCAACTCAAACTTACTCAAAATAAATTAAAATTTCAATTTATAATAAATTTAAAATTTTCACGAGTAAGTGTTACAACTATTTTGCTTTGGACTAGAAATAAACTTTTAGGGGATTATATCGACACCTATATTATAACAATGTAATGTAAACTAAGAAGTTACAAAACTTAAATCTATTCTTTTCGAACTTCCCCTTCCACTATGAGTCCTGGTTAAGTTTATGAGCCCTCCTACAAAAGGATCAGAATGATATATTTATTTACTAATTTAACAAAGATGGTATTATCTGATTAACAATCAAAAACACATTTTAATATAACTATATAAAAGTAAATGATTTAGTACGTAATTTCACATTTTATTCCAGAAATGATACAAAAAGCATAAAACAAATTTTAATATATTACATAAATGTAATTACTTAAAAATATTTTGAAAAATAAACAAAATATAACAGAAATTGAACTACAATGGGAATAAATGGAAAATTTGTAAATTCCTTTCAAAACCATTTGGCATAAATAGAAAAATAATTGCTTCCATTCACAATAATTCCATTAATATTTACATAGGAAAAATTTCCATTAATTTTCAATGGGAACCAATGCAAAATTTATAAATTTTATTTAAAACCATTCAATATAAATGGAGAAACAAGTGTTTCCATTTGGAAACATTCCATTAACCGTGTAAGATTAAAATATGAGTCAAATAGGAAATTTGGCGTAAGTTATACGAAAGGAAAAAAAAAAGAATAACAATTCGGTACCTAAAAATGGAAGAGATCTGGTTTGAGATAATTAAAACTTATTAAAAAATGGAGAAAAACGTGCCGAAGTTAATGTGGTTGTCAAAGCATGCTGTAAAAATAATAAACAAGACATTATTTGGAATAATAATGTCACGTAATTCATATTGTTTTTCGTCGAAAAACCTCATATTTCATCTTGATTAAAAAGAATGCCATTTAGTTACCACTAACAATAATTAAAGGTAAAAAATAAAGAATTGTCAATAGGATTTCCATTGGGTTCAGGAATGCAATGCATGGAACGCAATGGAAAATTTGGAAATTTTTCCTACAGGTAAGTATCGAGAAGTTCTTTTTAATGAAATCGTAAAGAAGGTTAAAATACGTTCGGCAAATATAACAGGCAATTTGGGCTTTGAAAATTCGAACGTGTTAGTGGACATCTCTCTCCATTTTACTTACTGCTTGCAGAGAAAAGAAGAGCTCCCAATTGGTGAATATATCCAATGGGAGTCATTTTAAAAATTTTCGGAAGTTTATCTACCTGCTAGTAGTAACCGAACAATTCTAAAATTGTCATTTCGAAATATTATGAACAGATAACACTTACGGAATCCATACGTTAGCTATTTGTCAATTTTGTTTCTAACAAAAAACATTGACCAGAACTTATAATTCATATTTGTAGAATAGTGAAAGAAATTTTGTTTCTATCGGGCAACACCACACGGCTTGTTTCGCTGTCTTGTGATATGGACCGTATCTTGTTGGAGCATCGCAGTTCTTACGTTATTTTTGTGTTTTGCTTACTGACGCTTTATATTGAGAGTAAAAAGCATGAGGATCTGGGACTTCCATTTTATAAACTTTTAATGAAAAATTGATTAAATTATCTATTTTAAGCTATCTCTACCAGTAGTTATTTATTTTTATTTTTTTTTGTGTCAGGAAAATGGGTGGAGAAAGACAATGATCATTACGAATATTTAACAGTAGGAAAAGGTCGAAACAGAAAAATGGTCCATCAAGAAACGCAAACAATGGAAAAACTATTAAAGAAACGGAATACAGACCAGGAAGAAGATCCTAAGGAAAACGAAAGAAAAGTTGCGAAACGTACTTGTACGTCACCAATCAGGACAAGAGAAAACTTTTCTTACGTATCCTACTATGAAATGTATGATACGTATCAAGAATTGGCAGAAAAAGAAAAGGAAGAGCTGGAGCAAAGAGACCAAGTCGTTCAGATGACTGACAAACAAAAGGGCGACGAAAAGAAATCGACTAAAGAAGATCATCTAGACGTCGCAGAAAGGGAAATAATCAAGCTCTCACAAAACGAACGTTTTTTCGAAGCTGCTTGCGTAATTGAAAGACTTCTTGCAAATAATCTTTTCAATTATCAGCAAAAAAGATATAGAGGAATTATCAAACCTGATCCGTTTCGTGAAGATATTGAATATAAATACAGGTTGAACCATTTGTGGACATACGCAAACGAAAATACCAATGGTACTTTTATTTATATATTTTACTAGATGTTACCCGCGGCTTCGCTCGCGTTGATGTTTTTTTATAGATTTCCATATAAAGGTATTTAAAAATTGCAAATAATATTGTCACTATTTTTAAATTATTTAACTAATTGCTATCTACTTAACATTTCTATTATTAATTAGTTATCAATTCGCCACTATATAAACACTTTGTCACTTCTTTGTATCGCCTCGAACTCGTTCTCGTACCCCTCCACTCGATTTCTCGACAACTATTAATAGAGGCTAATCGTATCCTAGAATGATCCAATACACACCATCTAGAAACCTGGTCTTCTTTTTCACCATGTATATTGGGTTGCTTACATACATGTGACAATATTTAGGTTATTAGTATTGTATATTTCAAAACTCCGAATAATTTACGTATATAAGCAGTAAAGGCATGCTCATTTCGATTTACCAAGCTCTTATACTCATGTCGAGAGATTGAGTTGATATGCCAAACGACCACATACAATTCATTTCAAGCTATTAGAGATATGCCTTTATCTAGATGCGCTATCAAAATTGAAACTATTCCTGCCTTGCTCACGTTTAGTGTTTATTCATTTTATTCACCCTTTACATCTCTAACCGTTTGAAATGAGTTATAAAACTAATTTTTTTATCTTTCGGGAACAGAATTTTTTCTGGATAAAAGGTACCCTATGCTATTTTCTGTGCCCCTAACAATGTGCGTACAAAGTTGCATGAAGATCGGTTGAGTAGTCAAGGCATGAAAGCGTAACACGGTCTCCTCATCATTCGCCTATAACATCACATTTCGAACAGCTTCTACAAAGTAGAACCCGCCGGGAATCGAACCCGGGACCTCTGGCTTTACGCACCAATGCTCTGATCACTAAGCTACGAGAAATGACAATAGCAATCACGTCAAACCGAGCCCACAAGGTTACAGATTCGTCGATTTTTTACTAATGTAATTATATATACTAAATATATGAAATACATTTTTTTTTGTTTATTTTAACCTCGTGGAGGAGAAATCTTCTAAAGACACCCCCCAAGGGGGATAGTGTCGGATTCACTCCTGGTGGGAGCGCCTACCGACTAAAAACCCTCCTCGGGATGGTAGTTCAACCTAGTGGTTATGACTACCGGGAGAAGATGGGAGAAGTTTGGGGAAGGGGAAAGGGTTGAGTGGGAGATAGGTATAGAGTTGAGGGAGGGGGTTGGGATGAAATACAATGACATTTAGTATTATTAATAGTGGTTAATATAAAATATTAATGTGAAAATTCATTTTCAATTTTCCATCCAGTACAAACCACCTTAGGTTGGTGAGGGAAAATTTTTGTTGATGTTGTCACGGGTTCGATTCCCGGCGGGGGTGTGACACCAGCAACAAAAATTTTCCTTCATTAACCTGAGGTAGTTTGTAGTGGACGGAAAATTAAATGAATTTTCTTATTAATATTTCATATTAAGTCTTTCTTTTATCTCATCTAATCTTTTCAGAGCGTTGTGTAAGTTGCGGAACTCACAATCCAGCCAACGATGATCTTTTCGCTGTTGGTTTCGGAAAATATTATTTCACTGACGTCTGTAAAGGAATGGTCATGATATGGAGCATAAAAAATCCTGTTCAGCCTGAAAGAACGTACAACTTCGAAGTACCTGTCACTTGTTTATCGTTCAGCTCATTAAATCCTAATATTCTGGGAATTGGGTTTTATGATGGAAAAATTGTAATAATTGACACCACTCACAGACATTTAGAAATTGCTGCCGAAAGTGGAGAAGACTCTCCATCACATGTTCCAGTTTGGCAGGTTATGACGACATCTATAATTAAAAAAATCGCTGTTCCTTTCTTTAGATCTGCTTTTTTTTTCAAACATTTTTCCAAGTTTATTTGATAAAAAACGTGTAGCCCAAATTTAACGTCAGTAGAGCGTCAGAGGTCTAGTCTCTTATCTTACTATGTATTTCTTTTGGCACTTCTGCTTATTAGATTTTGCCTGTCATTACTTAGACTATGCCCCTCTACCCCCCCTTAAGTAGGTAGGTGTTTTTTGTTTTTTTTTTCATCATTTGTACTCCTTTCTGTAATGAGCTCATCTTCGCATATACACTTTTATTAACAATCTTTTTTTGAATTTCCAAGTTAACCGTTTGCGAGTACAGAAGAGATTTCTTTTAGTTAAAAGAGTTTGATTACCAGTACTGAATTTAAATGATTGAGACTGAAATGCTGTGTATCATAACTCTTCGAGCTTGCATCAAACAATTCACTAACTAAAGAGAAACTCATTCATAAATACGAAAATTTTTTGGTTTTATGTATAACCCAGGCCTTAACTCACCAATCTTTATAAAAATGTGTGTACAGATAAACGGTTTCTCGGTTTGAAGACATTCTTAGTGAGAAGTATTTTATACTTTTTTTGAATAGTATTCATAACTATATGTGCTATCGTATAAGCTTTAAAATTTATGACGAACTAATAAGTACTGTTTTTTTTTTATTAATATTCAATTACAAAATTTTGTTTCTCTCAGTTTTAGGTTATGGTACAGAAAAAAATTGCATGGAGACCTGGGCAATAGACATCTTTAAAAATTGCTTGCGTAAGAACCCCTCCCATCAAGCCACCATTCTGAAAAATTCGTTTTTTAAAACATCTCCACAACTGCAACTCACACTTTTTCTTCTAAAAGTTTCGTCAGCCATAAAAGTCGAAAAGTTAATGACAAAAAAGCATATTTAACAATAATAGCGGTAAATACAGGGTGTTTATGTAATAATTAGCAAGCTTACAAAGCAAGAGTGAATGTTTGGTGATCCCAAAGTCCATCGTTTTCGAGAAAAATTTGTTTGAATGTAATCAAGGGTCAGTTCGTGCAGAACAATCGTGTATGACCGCTGCAAATGAAGTACTCCAAATAATTTTTGTAGTGTTCGTATGTATGTGTGTGTATTTTAACAGGTGTTGTAATTAATTTTTTCTTTTGGGAGGATAGGGCTATTAACGAACACCCATAAAAAGGATAATGCACCTTGGTTTTCAATGGTGGTTTCAAAATTTAATAAAATTACTATTACTGATGCAGACAGTAATAATTTAGAAAATGTTAATTTTTTCTTTCTTTTGTGTTCTTGATACCATATCGAGAGGTGTACTGCATACTATCATCGATGAACAAAGTAGTTATTTCATTAACTCTTTACGGAATGAGCTTCTAAAGATTATTATCTATGTGTAGAAGCGTAGTAGTAGTCTGTTGATATTTACTTTATTGGTCGTTCCACAACCGTCATTGCATATATTTTTTTCCAATGTAGCTGCTTAGTTGCAATTTCTCTATACATTGCCAACTTTGTCTGGTTTACTTTCAATTTTTTTGTCTTTTGACCACGTTGCTTTACACACCATGTGATTCCCTATTGCATCTAGTTAATAATGTTGCGGGGGTCGCTTGGCGTAGGGGCGGTTTACCATTCAAACACCCGTTTTCCCTTTACTGCCGTATATTCAGCACACAACCATTGTCAATTTATTGGGTAAGAGTCATGAGACACTAAGGGAAAATGAGTTAAACGATCGTACCTTCACCTTTCTTCGACCTTCGGGAGGAAGCCATCCGTTGCACGGGGATCCGGTGATGCTCTTCTCGTGGTGAGATTTCGGTACAGGGTTGCAATCATCAACCCAGCACCAGTCTATGATGTATCACCTCTTCTTTCTGGTTTCACGCCCGCTTCGCGGACCTCACTTAATCTCCCTCGCGGACTTCACTTTATCCGTCTTTGCTCTTTATAGGATCCCACACAGTGTTTGTTTTCGTCCTCGTCACATAGAACTTTTTGAATTTTGTCTCGACTCACAATGGTCGCACTTCCATGTATCGGTTCCTTATAGCAGTTTCGCGTTGCTCAAAATCGACCGAATATATCCCGGAACCATAACAAACGCAACTGCGTACAATAGTTCCGCGTTTTGAAAGTTACGCAAACCCAATTCCAGGAAAATATAATTTTGAAAATTACGAACACTGTATGACTTCCAAAGCTTACTCCTTATTTCAGAAACACTCTTTCTAGATAGAGAGCCTTTTGTTTAACGATTTTAAGAGCTGATACTATTATTATCAAGTCAAAAGATTATTTAAATGATACCAGACGGTTTGTATAAATTATTTGTACGAAAATATTTCAAGAAACTAAGTCCATACCCCTTTTTCAAGTATAAGGCTTAGGAAGGGAGTTGCCCCAGAAAAGTCACCTACATTATCATCATAAGGTCGTTAGTCCTAAGACTGGTTGGACACGCACCTCCACCCTTTCCTATCCTGAGCTAATCTTCGCATTTCCCCTAAACTGAAACAACCCACATCCTTAACTATTTGCGAACAGTAATCTAATCTAGGTCTACCTCTACAGCTCTTAACTTCTATTTCTGTCTCTAAAATATATTTCTGACTAGACCTTTATGCCTGAGAAGGTGTCCTACCAACATATCTCGCCTTTTTCTTATTAACTTCCATGACTCTGTTCACAAATTCTTTTTAATACCTCTTCATTTTTAACCTTCTCTATCCACGGTATCCTCATCATTCGCCAGTAACACCACATTTCGGACGCTTCTAACAGTTTCTTTTCTGCCGCATCTACCGTCGATGTTTCACATCCGTACAGCGCCGCGCTTCAAAAATACACCTTTAACAATATTTTTTCAATTTCTAAACTAACCGTTCGCAAGCATAGAAGTGGCTTCTTTTTATTGAAGGTTACTCTACCCTGCGCTACCCTTCGCTTTATATCTCTACAACTCCTTCCGTCCTGACTTATCTCACTTCCATATTAAACTTACATTTTAAAAAACAATTTACTGCCTATCGAAAATGTTAACATACCTTCTTTGACTGGCCTACAATCAAACAATTTTTAAGGAACCTGGTTACTTAAGTCTCTATACGATTTTTACAAGCCATAATATAAAATCTACTGAAAACACTAATGTCAAATACACGCGTTAAGATCAATACTCATATATTATATTGTTCCTTTTAGTTGGTTTGGTATCCGCCAAAAGACTCAGAGGGTGAGCAAGAAATGGTCATGGGGGCATTTCACGACGGCAGAATTTGTATGTACGTAAATACTGGCAATTTATATTTAAAATGTGATCAAATTATGCGTCTCACAACACCCGAGGGCAAACAGAAGGGTCTTTACACTTTAAGACAGTGCCGACCAAAAGGACTGCAATGTAACGAATACGTACCCGCCATGGTGGTAAGAAGACATCCAAAAAACAAGTACTATTACTACGTTGCCAGCAATGAAGGAACGGTACATCGATGTTCCACACACTATTATCAGCATTACTTGGACGTTTTTAAGGCTCATGATGGTGGAATTACGGAAATGGTTAGTTCACCGTTTTGTAATAAAGTTTATCTTACTTGTGGGAACGACTGGTATTGTCGGATATGGGCAGAAGGTAATTCAACTACTAATTGCTTTTATAAATATAATACTAGTTGGTAGTTGAACCTGTTCAAATTTGAACGGATAATTTGTTTTAATTCTTCTTTTAATTTATCTGTACAGAACTAGAAAGCAGTTTCATAATCTTTGATCATCATCTTCATAAGGTCGTCAGTCCTAAGACTGGTTGAACACGCACCTCTACTGTTTCCTATCCTGGGCTGAATATGTCTCTGACTAAACCATGCCTGAGAAGGTGTCCTATCAACTTATCCCGCCTATTTCTTATTGACTTCCATAGAGTCCTCTGTTCACCTATTTTTTCTAATACCTCTTCATTTTTAACCTTTTCTACCCACGATATCCTCATCATCCGCCTATAACACCACATTTCGAACGCTTCTAACCTTTTATTTTCCGCCACGCTCACCGTCCATGTTTCGCACCCGTACAGCGCCTTGCTCCAAACATACACCTTTAACAACTTTTTCGGATTTCTAAATTAACCGTTCGGGAGCATAGAAGTGACTTCTTTTTATTAAAGGCGACTCTACCATGCGCTATCCTCTGCTTTATATCCCTACTACTCCTTCCGTCCTGACCTATCTAGATTCTACTTTTTGATACGCTACGTATAATATTTCTAGCTTATTATATTTTAATCAATTGTTGCAGATATAACTGAACCAATTGTCGAATTAACAAAAGAAATGGAATCATGTGAAGGTGCAGCATGGAGTCCGACCCATTCAACCGTAGTTGCGAGTTTAACCGGAAACAACATTTACATATGGGATTTACAGAGAAAAACATATTATCCTCAGTCGATTCATCAAACGCCTGCTGCTTGTAGAAACACCTTTGTACGTTTTACAAGAAATGGGGAATGTTTATTGGTGGGTGATATGGAAGGAAATGTTCACGTGTTTTCCCTAGAAGACATGCCTTTTCCGGCCTTTTACAGTGATGCTTTACTTACACTTTCCTTACTAAAAGCCTTGCAAACAAAACCAGACCTTCAGAAGAAATTGGAAAAACTTGGAAGTCTCAAATTTGATACCACCAAGTCGGGACGATTTTTTGAATAAATTCTATCTTATGATTTTCATTTATTTGTATTACTCATATTATTATTATTTAATTTTTATAAGTCAAATGTAAATTTATAATAAATTTGGTACTTACTTATTAACAAGTACCTATCTACCCATATCAAAAATAAAAAACAAAAAAAAAAATAGATTCGTTTATATATTTATACTATTACCAGACAGTAGACATTTAAATGCATCCTATATTTGAATTAAAGAAAAAGATATAATTAATTATATTTCATTCTAGACATGAAAAACAGGTGGAATGGTTTCCTTTGTCTTAGAAACCGCCGAATATCCTAGCAATTCCTCGCAAGCAACTTCGCCGCTTTGAATTTGCTTCAGTTGATTTAGAAGATCGTAATTTATTGTATCGGTCACTTTTGAGTCCTTTCTGTTGCAAAATTAAAATAGAAAACTTTTATTTATCGTAAGTACCTATGTTGAATATCAAACAATATTCATTAGAGTAAACCGTAAACAAAAAATGGACCCTTTTCATAAAAATTTCGCCATAACAGTTAATTGTCTCAATAAATAATTTGAGAATATATATATCATCCTCGTTCACTTTTATCTCAGCAATTTGCAGATCAAAAGCTCTAAAATAATGCGGGTGGCTATATCTAAATACTTTTGTAACTATTTATATATATAAAAGAAAGTCGTGTTAGTTACACTACTTATAACTCAAGAACGGCTGAACCGATTTGGCTGAAAATTGGTGGGGAGGTACCTTAGAACCAGGAGACGGACATAGGATACTTTTTTAATCCCGTGGTATAAGAAAATGAAACTGACATGGAATAACAAAACGCAACTGACCGCTAAACTTAATGTTGTCTATGGTTAAGTATGGTGTTTTATTTATAGTCAGATTTTACCTGAAACTTGTCTTTAATTACCTGAAACTTGTCTTTGATGCTTTTTCATATAAAATTAGTGATATACATACCTATTTCAACATTTTACAAAATTCTACCTCTT